TAAAAAAAAAAACAAACCCGTAACATCCTCTTTTCGGGTCTGATTTTTCCACTCGCCTGGGGTAATCTGGCGTTCGAGGGTGCCCGCCTCTCCTTGACAACGGCTGTAGTGCCCGTACACCTTCCGAAGTTCAGAAAAATCCTAGTTTACCCGCCCGGGTGGGATGCCGCGCCGGCCGCTCAGCGCAGGTCGGCTTTTGGGCGAGAACTGCTCAGCGCTGCCGGGTGCGTCGTCAGACCCATTCCAGCAGCAAACACAGGACAAAACGCACATATCTGAACCGGGTGGGAAAAGCACCAACTGCTCCGTGTTTTTTTTCCCCTGATGTCATCAATCCTTAAAAGGTCGCACTCTGCAACGTCCAGGTAAATGCCAGCCTTGCTCCGGGGAAGGACGGATCAGCTGCTTACGCTGGAGCTGTTGCGCGTCCGAACGCCGCCCGAAGCTGGTAACCCTACAGACTTGAGCTTGTAACGAAGAACAAAGACCGCAGACAGTCAGGTGCCAAGGCGCTCCTCGCCATACTCGGACACCTTATCAAACATATTTACAGGCAGTATTTTTTTCCTGCGCCGCCAATTAATAGCAGCACTTCCACTGCTTACGCAAGCCTCCTGCCGGCACCGCACTGGAAAACACGACGGCGGTCGTTTCTCGGGGCGTTCACGCTGATCCTGTAATACCAGGTTTAGATTACAGTGACTTCTCGCTAGCAAGACGTGTCACAGCAACGTGAAAACCAGTGCTTGGGCTGACAGATTAAGGGATCTGGTACTATAAGCACACCAAACCACTAAATTAGACAGTGCTACTGAAAAATACATTAACAGCTGACACATTGAAACGCAAGTGAGCTCATTCGGTGCCACTCCAAGAAGTGCTTAATTTTCAGGATATTAAGCTGGGCAATTAATGCAAGCCCTCTTTAAATTAAGCTGCTTTTTGGTATATTCTTCAGAATGTTTAATAAGAATTTAATCACCAAGAACCCCTTGAAGGATATCAGAAAATCCACGTAACCGATATATTGCCCAGGTGGTTGTAACAGGAACAAGACAGTATGAAACCTGTAACTTTTTATTTAAAAAAAAAAAAAACTTAACAGCTTCAGAATAGATCAAATGTAATAACTTCTCCAAAAAATACCAAAAGGTACAGTGTAAAGCATCTTCTCATTAAATACAAACTAGCATTTTTTGATGCATTGCATCAATGTTTTGCATCTATGTTGATGCAAAAGGATTTTTTTGTTGCATCCTGGCACATGGAAAATGTATACACTGAAACAGGATGACTGACAACACTTTATCTACTCAAATTCTAACAGTGGGACATTTTTTTCCAAAAAAAAATTTCCTACTAGTAATTAAGAAAAAAACCTTAACACCATTACATTTAGTTTGCTTCTGCTAAGGTGTATTTTTCAACATTAAAAATAAGGGTTTAAGTACTATATAGCATCAGGATGCACTCTGACTTTAAAACTGCTATACAAACAACAGCCCTTCTACTGTCAAATGCTCTTCAACATTGAAGTTCTCAGTAAATGCTAGTTAACTTGTAATTTGAGATAAAAATGCAAGGAAACCAACCCTGTAAGAAGTCAAATGTAAATTCTTCAAGAACGATAAAAGGAATTAAGCCCACTTCAAACACCATAAACATTTCCGGATGCAGCAAGCCAATCGTTCTTTTACCTGACTGTACCTAAATCTCATTGCTATAGAACAGCGTTAGATTCATCAGTTCCTGGTCTGGAAGCAATTCTGAACAGGTGCCTCAGTTTTAGGGATCACATAAATTCAGACTGAGGATGCCCCAGTTGTTACCATCCTGCAGATTCTGATGCACAAAGCTAAGCTTAAAGCAAGTGACTGTGTGCTCCTGCTTAATGCCTTACACACGCTGGCAAACCGAGGGCTTTCTTCCAGCAACGTTCCCCAGTTTCAGCCAATTTCAAGGTGTCTGACCACTTCTGATCAGCTTCACATCTTACCTCTCTTTGGTACATACAAACAAGTGCCATTAGATTGCTTGCCTCTGGCTATTTGTAAGAAGAGCCAGAGAAAACCCTCTGGGGCAAGGTATGCAAGATGAGAATCCTACGTCTGGGAGGGTAAGGAACTGTACCATACCACTGACTTCCTTGTGAACTGTTGTATTTATTCCTAGGAAATTATTCAAAAATGTAAAGTTATTGCATTAAGTTTATGAAAAAAACTTACAAAAAGAAATAGAAAGCAAAAGTTTTAAAAAAAAAAAAAGGAGACAGATATACTCCATTTACAGAGGAGGATGATGAATTTGAGCTATTCGTAATATAAATTACTCTCATACTGCCTGTGCAGTATTCCTCCAATATGATCTGGACCACTTTTAAGGATAAGAGTAGAATAGTCTCCATCCCAATCATGTATTTTGGGTCTCAGCTAACAGCTTTATTTGTGAACGTGAGGATGCAAAACATTTAGTTTTCAAGAAAGGAAAAAAATTGAACTTCAAAAGCACAAAGAAGTACAACCAATGCTCCCATGAAAAATGCCGCTACATCACTACCAAAGTATTCATGGACTGAGGCTCTGTGCCAAACTGCAGTCCAAAGGAAAGTTCATAGGCAGTCCCTAAAAAACCCTAAAATGGGGTTTGTAATGAAACACTTACACAATCTTTACCATAACAGAGGGGTCAAAGAACAGATACTGAGCACTCCTAGACAAAAAACCCCCGAATTTTAAAATTTGTGTTTTGGCTTCAAGATGAACCAAAATCCGTGTTTGTCATCAGCTGGGCAACAGAATCTTTTCCAACCAGGTGATGGTGCCACTCCAGCGGATCAGTTTCCCCACTTTCCCCCCCTCAGGGCATCATGTCTTTTACCATTCAAAGTAAAAGTAATAAAGATAGATAGCTCTGCCACCATCTTAGCAAGAAGTCTGGAGAATTTCAGTGACGTATGCTGTACTCTTCTGCCCACTTTTATCTCAGTTTCTTAGGTAGGTGGGATCAGTGCTCAAGTCCATCTGCCAGGTTAGCCCACTGTTACAAAACGACTTCCTTTGTTCTGAGACAGCGCTGTTCTTTGTTCCTTCAGGATCCCAAAACGTTCGTTCAATGTCATCCCTGTCTGAAAAATACAGTCATTTCACCACAAACATAAAAGATGTTAGGTTAATTTAATCAAAGTAATGAGGACAAGAAAAAATTTTTTCCTCATTCTGTATCATCACTTGACTTCTTAATTGCCTCACTTAGATTAAAAAAAAAAAAAATGTTTAATTTGATTTAATCATTTCCCACACCATTTAAAAATCAGATTGGACTATACATCAAGAGCTAGTATTTCTCAGAATTCATTAAGAACACATAGTTACACAATGTCAAGACTGAAAGTCTACTCAAAGTATCGTACGTTAAACTGAGGACAGACAGACCGAAAAAGGGAACTTTCACTACACTCATTTCCCCACACAGATTCTATGCAACATCAACAAATGCAGCATTTTAACCGTGTTAATGCAAGTTGCTTTCCAGTCCACCCAGTTGAGGCAGTAGACTGGAGTCCAAATGTTCAAATTAATTTTACAATATAGTAGTAAACTATTTTTGACATATTCCTTATTCATGGAAGGACCAAAACCAGACCGACACACTGATCCCATATCATTTTCTACAGCTGGCAGTAAGGAGCTGATTATAAGAACAGTATCTAACTGTCACCCCGTAAGAATTCCTTCAATGACAGCACTAAGATTCCTGCACCACATCGCCTGTCTTCACGAAACTTGTGAAAAATTGCTTATCTTTCAAGCCTTTACGTCATCACATTTGATTTTTCTTTTCCTAGATGCATAGCAAAAGTTGCCATATAAATTCAGCTGTCAGAGTTCCATGCAGTTTAAACAACTGAAAGAAGCTCACCCCTGAATTACGCACAGTTGCTGATTCAAGCACAGCAGGAACACCACAAGCCTTTTAGAAACATTCAACATTTTAAATCCCATTTAAAGCATGTGGGCATACATGACATGAACTAGAGGAACAGGAACAGTGAGCTGAGTTACTTGCTTGAAGTTACATTGCAAGTTAGTGGCAAAACTGGAAATGGAAACAAGAAGTAGTCACTAGTTCCCTCTTTCTGTCACTAGCGAGTTTAGGAGGAAAGTATCTGGCTCACTGACTTTTATCTGTCTTGAAACTACTTCCACAGTTAAGGAAAGAAACTGCATTTACCTGTTTTCCAACACTATTAATATCAAACTGCAGTGGAACCCCTTTGGGAATCTTCTTCTCTTCAGATTGGTCCCTCTTCATCAGAAATGGTGGCACAGGAGTACAAGTTAATCGTAATTTCTGGGAACTGTGAAAGAAGAATGTTACAAAGGACACAGTGAATACGCGTTCTATGCAATAAAGCCTTAATGCTGATAGAGGTATGAATTTTTCATCAGGCCATTTGATCAGGCTGGCTGAATAGCCGGAGGGCACAAATTCAAGAAGGTAAAACTCAGTCAGAACTTTAAAAGGGTAGCATTTGTTATTGCTATCAGACAGCAAGTGTCCCAACAGGAGGCGATCTTATCTTTTATCTCTCAATCCTACTGACAAGTGCGTAATTTGTGGTTAATTATTCCCATAAATACAAAAAATAAAAATCGGTACAGTCTTCCTTACAGGTAAGATGCTACTAATGAAAAAAACTACTCGAGATTTTTAAAACAAAACACCTCATGAAACAACAGTACCGTCAACTTCCCGAAGACAAATACAGCAATGCTTTCTTTAAGCACAACTCTAGCAGTATCTTTATGAATCAGGGAGGAACCATTACCATCACTCATCAACTGGATGCTCATTCATTTTCATTCAGATAGGGAAGGAAAACAGCTGCAATGCAGTCTGACTTGGAAGAGGCAAACAAGGTGAAAATCTACCAGCCCACCACTCTTCAACTCCATACACCACATCAAGCTCCCAACTGGGAGATGCCTTGAGAAATCCAGCTGTGATATTATTCAAACACAGCTCAGAAACACTGAGAAAGGGGCCAGATTTAAAAGTCTTCACAAGAAGCTGTGACCTTGAGGTCACCAGAAATACTGTCTGCAAGGAACTTGCTAAATTGCTCAGAACAGCTATTTCAGCTATGTTGAGAACATTTCAGAACTTTTTTGAAAACTCACATCGGGGTTATGATTGCTCCTGGGTTGTCAATGGATACAGTCAGAATCCCTCCACTCGTGGTAGAAGTTCGCCATCTAGTTTGAAAACACAGAAATCACTTACAAAAACGTTGCAGAAATTTCAGTCGGAGTGTCTTTAAGTGTGTGTCCAAAACACTGGCTAGTAAAGAATGTACAAGCTTTCGGAATATAGGCCAGTACGAAGACCACATGCAGTCAAACAATCTACAAGAAGCTTGGCCATTGATTCTTGCATCTTTTACATTATCTAAACCTATTCAGGTGAGCGCTACATCACATGCTGGCAAGGTGTACCAGAACTACAGCACTGACTGAAGTGTTCGCTTTTTTAAAACATTCAGTTTCCTTGCCACAGATGGGGCCAAAATGGTCCTCACAGCAAATCAAAGAGGTGACAGACTGCAGGTCTGCGGCATACGCTGCTTACTCAGCCTGTTGTGTTACCAACAAACAAGTTGCAAAGAGCCAAGCAGGCACAGAATGATATGGGAAGAACACATGGGGGCAGAGCTGAGTGTCCACCTTGTGACCTGCCTTGCTTATTTCCAAACTGCTTCATAGGCTTATGTGTATATTAAATAAAACGGAAATTACATCAAGAGCTCAGGAGAACATTGACATTTGAATTTTTCTTCCAGTCCATGCAGTATTCATGAGTGGTAGAGATTAGTCTGATCCTCTGAAGCTACCACCTTCCCCCTCATTCCTGCAAGCGTCTTATGCAAACAAACTCCTCCTGGTTAAATTAGAAGATAATTTAGGAAATAACTGAGAATAGGGGGAGGATCACTGTCACTCAGTTGATATGCCTACAGGGAAAAAAAAACCCATTCAATTATCATAGCCAGGAAGCCAGAACTAAAACGAGAATCATACGAGTAACCAAACTGAAGTTTTCCAAATTAAATACTTACTGACGAGTTCTCTTTACTGTCTGATTATCAAGATCGTCTGTTGACTGCACTTGGGCCTGCACCTGAAGACACATCAATACAGACACTGGATTTGAATAGTGTTTCAATTTCCATTGTAGCAGCTGGAGATATAGCAGTTCAAAAACAGAAGTTTAAAGCTGTTTGTACACTCTGCACAAACAGGGCTGTACTTTCAGAGGGACTTCAAAGATAACTATCCTATTACCTTTGTAAGACATTGGAAAGAAATTACTTTAAGAATACAAAATGATTTAAACAAAGTTGTCAATGACAGTAACTTAACCAAGAAAGAGATGGAAACATTTTTGAGGACTATGTCAGCAAACACACACTTGACCAAGATACACCAAAATGTTACTGGGCCAGCAAGAAAAAACTGGTTCGTTCCTAATCTGATTGATGTTAACATACATAATATCCAATAGGCCACTAAGTCCCACTGCTGTTTTAAAGGACTTTGGTTTTGTTTTTCTTCCTCCTGATCCTGTCTGTAATTCTGCAATCCACGTGGATGGAAGACAGCAACTACCTACAGTCGCAACGATGGCAGATGTAGAATGAGGGCACAAACCAAAACAGAGACCACCACTATCATTCACTGCATACTCTCTGTTCTCTTGATCTCATTCAAAACAACTAAAAAAATCCTCAAGTAACTAAAATAATAACTAAAACAAATAACCCCAAAATAACAAAGAAAACCCCAAACCATAACCAGTCTCTAAAACGTGTTTCTGCTCTATCCTTCACCCAAAGGCAACTTTTGAAAGCTGCACAGTGCTTTCTAACATTGACTTTTAAAAGGAAAAATGAATAGCTTGCAACTACCCTCAAACAGTCTGACAAGTTCCATGCCCCTCAGGACAGTCCAGCTGTACTGGAACAGGAAGCAAGACTCAATGGGTTACAGTCACTGAAGAGGACAAGTACATTTCCCTAGAAGAACCCACGCCTATTTCCCAGTCCACCTGAAGTTTCTACCCAGATCTGAAATTTGAAGTTGATTTATTAATATCAGTGTTATAGGTTAGCTTAGAACCTGTGGTACAACTTTGTTGTTGTTTTCAGTAATTATTTTACCTTCAGGCCCCTTCTAAACAGGAAAGTTGCTTGACGAGTGTCTTTCTGCTGATTTAGTTTGTTTCCAATTCTGGCAAAAGTGGATGGCATGTTATTCCTGTAATATTTATTAAAATATAGTTATCAAAGAATCCACAGAAAACATCTTAGAGAGACCACTATGAAAGTCGGGAAAGTGCCCAGTACATCCCCCTAAGGACATCTGCAACGCTGCCTCTTTGAGGCTGAACATTTCAGTTGCAGTAAGCTTCTCATCTACTAGGAACAAACCACATTACTCATAAATGGAGAAAGCACTTCTGTTACATAGAAGCCTAGCACTTCTATGTCACAGGACAGTATGATTATTAATTCTGCTTTTTACTCAGTATCCCCCAGGACTTTAAACATTGCTGATTAGATGAAAAAAGGCGCAGTCTTGATATGTATAAAGAAAGTGTATTTACAGTTTCTACAATAGAGTCACATAGTGAAAGTTTTCATCGTGGAGACCAGTTAAGATGCAGTTCATAACAGACATGTTAATTCCAGCACAAATAAAACATGCAATAGCTTCCATGAAACTGAAGATAGCACCAGCTTCCACAAAGGCATTTTATTTAGGAAGTTCACTACACCATAGCTGTCACTTCAAAGCTACAGAAAGCCACATGTTGCCCGTTTCCATATAGGCTGCCTCTAATTTAAATGAAGGCAGAATACCA